TTCTTTTGTGTTGCCGTTCCTTGGCGGCAGCCCTGACAGAGGCCACCATTGGCACCACTTCTTTTACAATTCCCCTTACAATTTAGGTCCTCGCAGTCAAACAACCTTGGGCGGGGTTGCGTGTTACCGAACCCCGCACATGGACAAGGCTTCGTAAACTCTCCCATTTTTCGCGGCTCAGCGTGAGCGTGGCGCCCTTGGTGCCGCCGGCCCGGGCCTTGGCTTCCGCGGCGTCGGCGACGGCTTCGGCGGCCTGCGCGGACGCGTCCGTGGCGCTTACGAAGACTTCGCGCGCCTAGATCCGGCTTGGGGATCTGCAAGCTAAATATTTAGCTATTTAGTTTGTATTTAGTTTGTATTTAGTTTGTATTTAGTTTGTATTTAGTTTGTATTTAGTTGCGCAGGCGTCACTTCCGAGGTCCCTGCTCTCTCCCGCCTCCCGCGGCGGATGGCGCGCCCCCTGGAAGATAGACTCGAAACGAGATCACTTCCAGGCAATTACTGATCACGAATTGGTACTCGGATTCCCTCCCCGCACAGGGTTCCCGCGAATCCTCGCGAGGTTCGGCCCTGATCAGCTTTTGGGCGCTGTATCTTCATCCATTGGGCTCAGCAACGCGCAGCTCGCACTGTGAGACGCCGTCCAGGAAGCCTATGTGGCTTTGGGGGAGTGGTCAGGAAGGCTCCCCGACACTGTCGATGTCAAAGTTAGAGATGACACTGCGCACCGTGAATTGACCGGTGACCGGGGGTCGCTCGACCTTCACAAGTGCGTGAAAGAGAAGACACTGCCAAATGGCACTACATGCGAACACCGACAGCTTGGTTCACCGTCCTAGTTGCACACCGTGAATTGACCGGGGGTCGCTCGACCTTCACTAGTGCGTGAAAGAGAGGACACTCCGAAATGGCACTGAAAAACCCGCACGCCCATTACTTGGTGCGCGTAGAAAGTTTATGAAATAGAATCGTTTAGGTAGGCTGGTGCCCGCCAACGAAACCGCCACCGTTGGTGGCGAATCGCTGGCAGCAGCCACACTAGACATAGGAACCGGCCTCTGACCATTCGTGGAGTCTCGCAGCGACCGTCTCATGTTGCAACCGCCACCCGCAGGCCAAGTTTGAATAGCCGCGCCCGTGGTTGGTATGCTCATGACAGAAGAACCGATACGGATTCGGCCGCACCTCGAAATTACTTTGAGGAATGTAACGCAACGCGGTGGTCATTATGCTCGTCGCATGCGCCGGGTTACCGTCGGTAAGGTCGTGCAAGAACCTGTGCAGCTTATCTTCCATCGCACGCAGCTCATCCGGCCCGACATCATCGCGAGCAGCGGCCGCGCGAGAAGCGCCTTGTGGCATGGCGTCACGCCCCGGCACGGGGCGCCCTTCCGCAGCCCGCGGGGCCCCGAACGCCCCAGGCGGGCCGAGCTAGCACAGCGGGTGGGTCGCGAAGCCCACCGGAGGTCCTCGGGCAGCGATTCTACGCTAAACACCCACCATCGTCTAAGCCGCTCTAGACGATAGACTAACGCGTCCTTAGCGAATAAAGATTGCTGGGTGCGATGGCCAGGCCCGGCGGGAGCGAGCGGGCGCCGAAGAAGGCGTCGGCGGCGAAGAAGCCCGCGGCGACGAAGCCCGCGGCGAAGAAGGCCGCGAAGCCCGCGGCGCGCACCGCTGCGGCGCTCCGGCGCGCCTACATCGGCCGCACGGTGAAGAAGGCTTTCTATAACCATGGCAAGATGGAGTGGTATGACGGAGTGGTCAAATCCCTTTACTCTAAAAGTAAATGGTTCCTCGTCGTCTACACCGACGACGACAAAGAGGAAGTCACCGAGAAGGAGCTGCGGCGCATCCTCACCGCGGCGCCCGTCCCCGGCGCGCTCGGCGCGATCGCGGCGTCGTCGCTGCTGCCGGCCGTCGGCGCGTACGGCGGCGCGGCCGCGGTCGGCAAGCTCCGGCTCGCGTGCCGCGCGCTCCGCGCCTTCGACTGGGCGCCCGTCTGGGCCGCCCTCGTCGAGGCGCGCTTCCCCTTCGCCGGCCAGCGCGACGTCGAGGCGTACCGACGGACGGACGCGGCGTATCCGCTCCTCTTCCGCCCCAGCGCGACGTCAGTCTCCTACGCGGACCTCAACGACGACGGCCCGGCGTTTCTCGCCGGCGCCGCCGCGGGCACGCGCTGGGCGCGGGGCGATGTGTTGACGCGGTCGCGGCGGCGCTTCCGGGTGGCGTTCGGCGCCGTGCTCGGCGCCGGCCGCGCGTACGTCGGCCTGGCGGTCGCGCGCGCGTTCGACGGCGGGGCCGCGACCTTGGACAGCGACGACGCCATCCTCATCAGCAGCCACGGCTACATTTCCAGGGCCACGGGCGGGGGCGCCGACGGCCTCCCGAATCGCTGGGGCCCGGGGCCCGACGGCTGGGTCGACGTGCAAGTCGACCTCGACACGCACTACGTATCCATCGCCTCGTGCGTCGACCGCAACGGCCACACCAGCCTCTCCGTGCATAGCCTGCGGCGCCGGCTCCGGAAGGGCGAGGCGCTCGTGCCCGTCGTCGGCGTCGTCGCCGGGAGCGACGCGCAGCTCCTGCCCCTCGCGGGCACCGATAATCCGCACCACAGCTAATAAAAGCCTACGCGGAAACGGTATCCTCTTCTTTCTTGTTCTTGCACACTTTTAGTGACCGAGGAGCCTGGGAGTTGCAATTGCAGCTCACTGCTTAGTGTTGCTAGATCCCCGCCGGTTGGTAGGGCAGTGTAAATATCTACCTTTCTAGCCTATAGTGAAGGGCTTACATCCCTTTACATTCCTGGGATACGGTGATCGAAGCTTTGTGTACCACGAAAGGCGTCTATGCCCCTAACTGCGACTTGCCATTATACGTGCGGACGGACGCATGTTAAAGTAGTTCCATGATGCTCGCTTGCTGCGCAGGAGAAATGATTCGAAGCATGGGCAGTAGCCACTGCTTTGAACGGTTTGACCACTGTAGCCACAAATGTATCTGGAAAATGCATGAGGGAAAAGTATCTGGGGAAAAGGATCTGGGGACGTCGCCGACCTCGATGCCGTCGATCGCACGCTCTTCATCCTCATCGACGATGCCCCGGCACGCGTGCTAGTCTCCATCGATGTCGACACCGGTGCCAAGGTCGCGGAGCACCGACTTCCGGGCGACCATGACGAGTGGGAGGGCATCGACCTAGTCTCAGACGCAAGCAGGCCCGGAGAATTCGACGTCTACCTCGCCCGGGACCATCCCCCCGAGATCTGGCATCTCCGCTACAGCCTCGTCGACGGCTTCCTATGCGCCGCGTGCCAGTGATCTGTCTGGGGAGTTAGGTAGCTGGCCCCAGATATCCACATACTATATTGTAGCCAGTACGACTCGGATGGTACAAAGCAGAGGGAGGGGGGGAAACTTTGAATTATATATGTGGCTGGGTTGTTTAAGATCCGGGATCGAGCAAAGGGGTACGCTTTCGAGAAAATCGATGGTAAAGAGGGCTCCGCCAGTGGTGATGGGCACCTTTGGCAAGCTCTATCTCGGCGCCATGGCCACCGATTTGCAAAATTCTTGTTGCATCTGAAAGCCGGCACCGTCGTCTTGCGCGCAGAGCCAATAACTCAAAAACTTCAAGAGCATCACAAATCCCGCTTTTTATTCAACCCAGCCACATATGTGAGACGAGTGCGGCGAGCAAGGATTACAAACCACCAGGGCTATACATAGCACCGGCTCAAACGACCGGCTGATTTTCCCGGCAGCTATCGCACGTGACGGGGCAGGTGGCGATGACCTCATCCACATCCACGACGCCGGCGAACTGGCCGTTTTTGGCGTCTTCGCAGGTGTCGTGCCCGCCCGTCGCCAAGATGAAGTCCATGTCCGCGCATCCAAAGCCGAACCACGTGGCATCGGGATCGTCCACGCACGCGACGGTCGGCGCGGGAGGCACGTACGGAGTCGGTACCAAAGTGGGCGCTCGTGTGGACGTCGGCGCCGCCGACGACGTCGGTTGGCTCGACGGGTTCATCAAGCACCCCTTTTCGTCGCGTCCGTCGCCGCCCGCCAATTCCTCGAGACAGCACGTGACGACCCCGGCTCCAACCAGGCCGTCGAAGGCCTCGGGGAGATCCGGCGTCTCCCCGTCGTAGCACTTGTTCGCGTAGAGGTGAACTTCTTCGAGCTCGGAGGCGTTTAGGAGACTCGGAGGGAGCTCGGAGACGGAATTGACCTCGAGCCAGAGGCCCTGGAGCGGGTTAGCCACGGGGGTGTCATCGTAGCGCCTTTTGCGCCCGACGCCTGCCGGGAGATCTAGAAGCTGATTGCCCGCGAGCTTGAGCTTCTCGATGGATCTCGCGTACGCGATGTCCTCGCTGATCGTACGAATCGAATTGTACTGCAAGTCCAACTTTCTGAGATGTGCTAGCTCACCGATGGCCTCGGAAACGGTCTCGATCCTGTTGTACGCGAGGTCCAGCTCCATCGTCGCGGAACTCGATTCGTTGACGCGAGGTCCGAAGGTGGTCGGCAGCGACGCTATTTTGTTGTTTCTCAGGAGAATGTTTGTAACAATGTGGCGTCTTCTTCGGTCGATGTAAAAAGCATGTTTCTCATCACTTTATTGCTTTCGTCGTAATCGAATTCGACTTCGCGCATGCGGAACCCAAAATATTCGCACGCCTTTTGACTGGTAAGCATCGGCGGGTATTCGGAAAGCTTGTTATTTTCAGATCTGAGTTCGATGAGCGCCGCGCTAAAATTGGCGGGGAGCGTCTTGAGCTTGTTGTCGAAGACGTGGAGGTGGTAGAGTCTGTGCCATTTCGCGAGGCCCCACGTTTCCGGCAGCGCCTTGAGAGAGTTCCCCCGAACACTGATGTACACGGGGCAAATCCAGTCCTCCGTACCAGCCTGTTCCGACCGTAGCTCGGGCAGCACCTTCAGATTGTTGTAATCAAGGAACAACGTGATCGACGGGTGCACTCTGCACATGCGAACACAGCCAGCTTGGTTCATCGTCCTTGTTGCGCAACGTGAAGAACGGACGCTGCCAGTTGCACTCTGCACGTGCGAACACAGCCAGCTTGGTTCATCGTCCTTGTTGCGCAACGTGAAGAACGGACGCTGCCAGTTGCACTCTGCACATGCGAACACAGCCAGCTTGGTTCATCGTCCTTGTTGCGCAACGTGAACAACGGACGCTGCTAGTTGCACTCTGCACATGCGAACACAGCCAGCTTGGTTCATCGTCCTTGTTGCGCAACGTGAAGAACGGACGCTGCCAGTTGCACTCTGCACGTGCGAACACAGCCAGCTTGGTTCATCGTCCTTGTTGCGCAACGTGAAGAACGGACGCTGCCAGTTGCACTCTGCACGTGCGAACACAGCCAGCTTGGTTCATCGTCCTTGTTGCGCAACGTGAAGAACGGACGCTGCCAGTTGCACTCTGCACATGCGAACACAGCCAGCTTGGTTCATCGTCCTTGTTGCGCAACGTGAAGAACGGACGCTGCCAGTTGCACTCTGCACGTGCGAACACAGCCAGCTAGGTTCATCGTCCTTGTTGCGCAACGTGAAGAACGGACGCTGCCAGTTGCACTCTGCCATGCGAACACAGCCAGCTTGGTTCATCGTCCTTGTTGCGCAACGTGAACAACGGACGCGCAGGCGTCACTTCCGAGGTCCCTGCTCTCTCCCGCCTCCCGCGGCGGATGGCGCGCCCCCTGGAAGATAGACTCGAAACGAGATCACTTCCAGGCAATTACTGATCACGAATTGGTACTCGGATTCCCTCCCCGCACAGGGTTCCCGCGAATCCTCGCGAGCTTCGGCCCTGATCAGCTTTTGGGCGCTGTATCTTCATCCATTGGGCTCAGCAACGCGCAGCTCGCACTGTGAGACGCCGTCCAGGAAGCCTATGTGGCTTTGGGGGAGTGGTCAGGAAGGCTCCCCGACACTGTCGATGTCAAAGTTAGAGATGACACTGCGCACCGTGAATTGACCGGGGGTCGCTCGACCTTCACTAGTGCGTGAAAGAGAGGACACTCCGAAATGGCACTACATGCGAACACCAACAACAGCCAGCTTGGTTCACCGTTAGAGAGGACACTGCCAAATGGCACTACATGCGAACACCAACAGCCAGGTTGGTTCACCGTCCTACTAGTGCGTGAAAGAGAGGACACTGCCAAATGGCACCAAGGTGAAAAGCAAAACTTTTTTAGGCGCCAGCCGCGCGGTCGGGACTATCTGCGTTAAGCTAGCCGCGCCGGGATATTAGTCGGGTCGAGTGGGGCCTAAAGGGAGGCTAAAGACCGGAAAAAAATTCCGCGCGCGTCTACCCCCCGCTGGGTGTATCTTGTGCCGGCACAGTGTGCCGGAAGATCTAGCGGAGCTTAGTGTGCCGGCACAACCAGAAATCGCGTTTTGTCGGTGTGCCGGCACGTTCGGTCGGGCCCCAAGTCGACGGGGCCGCACGTCACAGAACATACTCGTGCTCGCCCTGAGGCCTATGCTGGCTATGCTAAGTCTGCCTTATACTGGCTATGCTCATGCTATACTATGCTGATGCTCCATACTAGCATACTCGGATTCTAACACGCACGTCGCAGCTCGTACTTCAAGCGGGAGAGTGCCTGCTCGAGGTGGGGTCTGCCGTATTTGTTTTCGTAGTACGGAAGGTGCTCTTTGAATTTCATTCTGATCATGGTTTTTGTTTCAGGGCAGCGAGCTTTATGATGAAGCACGTCGAGTAAGCTGAATATATTGTATTGTTCATTCGGGTCGTAATCTTCCATATGAACTGGACACGCGGAAAAGAAGATGACCGCCCTGAACCGTTTGTTCTCAGGCTTTGCGTGAATCTTGCCGCCTCCCATCATGCAAAGCGTTCCCGGTTTCGCCGGGCCATTCGTAATTGATTTGCGAAAATGATCGATCCTATTGAGTGAGCATAGAAGGGAAGAAAAATTAGCGAGTTTCTCATCCGCGACACGCTTGATACCCATTTCGATGCACGCGTCGTCGAGCGACATCGTGGCATCTGAATATATCGTACTTTCACTTTCTGTGAGAATCAGCGCAAACTGATAAGCGCTCTTCCTTAAATCGATGTGGTATATTTGTTCTGGAGTGTTCCATGAAAAAAGCAACGAGAATGCTGAAAATTTATACTCGTATCCAAGACGCGCCGAGGCTGCGTCGACCGCGAGGTTGATCCAGCTAACCAGCTTACCTTTCACATCCTGATCGAGGGCGTCAAAAGCGTCGTAGCTTACATCACCATCATCCGGGACATCACAGGTTGATGTA